GCCATTTGTTTCTTTCGGCTCGTTAACTTTATGTGATAACGATCTAACGCTTGGACGATTTTGTTCAGGCGCCGTCATCGTTTTTACTTCGAGTTCGACCATTGGAACGCCTTCGAAAAACGCTTCTTGGCCTTCCATCCGTGGATCAGTGAGCCACAAAGGGCGAACAAAACCATCACTACTGTTTTCAGTCATGGCTGAATGCGACGCGCAATGCTTCCGAGAGGTACCATTTCACTGTGCTTCCATCCGCTCACGACAACGTCACCGACCACGCAACGCAATGCAACGCAGGTGAATATATGCAATCGTATTGCACTACGGAAATCGGATTCAAGCCAGCGACATTTCGGTCCAGCCGTTTTTGTTTTGGTTATTTTTCCTTCTTCTTCTTCCTTGCAGCAATGTCAGCGTAAGGGAAGTAGATTATGAATATGAAATATGGAATTATGGAGGTATTGACATCCGATCGTGGATGATTATTCCGTCAAGTGTCGAGCGGACGAACATTAATACTTGAAGTGTGAGTCTATAAAAACATTCTGTTCAAAATCGTATGTTTGACGACTGATTAGTAATCGACAATGTTTGAGGTACATTTAATTTGCTGCATTCCTAATAAGGAGTAATACTCTTTCATTGGCCGAGAATGAACTTAATGGCTTCTCGTCGTTTCGTGAAGTAATCACGTTAAATTATTCCCCTCCCAGATATGTCACTGTGTTGAAGAGGCATCGACCCTTTGAATTCCTTGCACGAGCAAATGGTAACAATCCAACAAAACGAATGTCGTGCTTCTGAGCGTACTAATTTTTTAAAAAATTATTATTCTTTCATTCTCAAATTGCCAGAGGGAAAGAAGCTTTTGGAATTTGAAAGATCAAACGACCCAAAAAATATTTAAATCAATCATGTCTTGATAGTGTCTACAATGTATGGCTACCGCAGGTGCAGGTGTCATCTTGACTTAAAGGGCATCTATCACGATTAGATCCGGTCAATCATAGATCAATATCGGGTTTTTCTGGATCCGTGCTTAAGTCGAAAGAGGATGTGTTATCTTTATCTTGCCACGGTGTAAAAGACTCGATGGCTCCAAAATTTGACAAAACCTTCGTTTTACGGCACCGATATTGGTTTCCAACTGATGCCTTTAGATGCGTGATTTCGGATTGCACCAACAAAACTTAATTTCACAGAGGGCAAACATCGTCCATAATGAATACATTTAAACTGACTGGATGCGTGATTAATTGAGGAATCGCGTCATTTTATCGGTAAAATCCAAATTAGCATCAGAAGCAACATTTTTAACCTTGAAAAATGATTAAAGCGCCTGAGCTTGTTTTTCTTCTGTAATTTTCAATTTTAAAAGAGAATTCATTAGTAAAAGAAAAAGCATTTGTATGACATAATTTATACAGAAAATTGGGACGATAGACCTGTCATTGAATAGTAAGTGGCTGACAAACACTTTTCCTTTTTCCTTGGTAGGAGATGTGAAGGATATAATTTTAATTGCAAACATCATTAAATTAATTTTAAAAGGAGACACGTGCATCAGGGCTTTGTTGCTTGCAGTACATCGAAGTATTTTGTCAAAATATTTTTCTTCTGATCTACTCAAGTGCCTTGTGGGTTGGGATATGATATGCTATTTTAAGAAATCTTGAACGATGCCAAGAATCCATTTGATTTTGATGTCCTTACGTGTCTCGTGGCTGGGATACTCTGTTATTTTAAGAAATCTTAGGCGATGCCTACAAAGCATGTGTGATGATATAGCCGGCGTTAACAAAGCTCTTTACGTGTTTCAGGTAACATCAGAATGCGCTCTCTCCTCTTTTTCATGTTAAGCGCAGATGTGTTATAAATAACAAGAAAAAAGGTATTCAACCTGGGCGTCTTTCGATATTTGAAGGGACTTTTAAGTGCCTATGACACGACGGCAACGAGGACGTAGCAAAACAAAAGATGTACTGGGCGGAACGATAGCGCAGCGCGAGCGTTTTGAAACTTTGTACATTTCTTTGCCTTCCATTGCAAAACAGAGGAAGGCGTGAAATCGCCAAAAGTTGTGAGTTCTGAAAGTGGAAGCCACGATGGCAAGTTTCCATTTCAGTGAACCTCAACCCTGCTCACATACAGTTTGCTGAAGTTGAAGTGTGACGCCGTTAAAAGACGGTAAACACATCCAGACATTCGCAGAATTCCAATTCAAGATATGAAGTCATGTTTTGGTCGATGTCTCCTTCGGTGTTGCCGCCTTGACAGCTTAAGATGCCTGATAGCTGCGCAAGCTTCAAACTCCCACATAGCAACTAACTACGTGGCGTAGAAGTATGTAGCTTTTGTCCATGTTTTTACTTTTAGGTCTAATGTAGGGTGAGAGTTCATTGATGGTTTTCCGCTAACTATTGCGAAAGGTTTCGATGACAACGTAGGTAGGAAATCTCCTGTTTACCATATGAAATTTTATCTCGCATGTAAATGCGACAACTGTTAATTGGTCGTAGATGATGGTTTCATCCACAAATCCAACAGCTGAATACACGGAAATGCACGAATTAGTCTTAACTACAAGTAGGATCCAAGAAAACGCTAAAGACACTTCTAAAGCATTGTGAAAAGACGACGAAAACAAAAAAGGCTCTAGTGCACGCGTTGAAACATGCTTTAGGACTAGTCATTATTTATCTCGTGGGAGGGGGGGTCGGGGGTCGGAGAATTTTGGTCGTGTCATAACAAAATCTACCTGATCCTTCCAAAAGGCTTTGTAGAATTGCAATGATCCCGCCTCATTTGCAGTCAATGTTCTTCAGTACCCCTGTGGTATATTCTGTCAGCGACAACTTTTCCCCCCTTCGTACGTTCCCCTGAAAACTATGTGATCCTCGAAATCGTCCACCTTCTCCCCTCCCCCACGCGGTAGATGAAAGCTGGTGATGAAATTCAAGTCTTAGATGATGTTTGTGTGGCCTACATGTATTTTCTTCAATGTGATATATCACGTGTTCTCTTTGCTTGACTTCCACATAACGTTTTAGTCTTTCTTTAAACGAGAATCATCGTAACGCATTCATTTAGCATTTCTTTTTAACATTGTAATTTAATTTTCCAATTTTGTTATTTCATTTTTATGCAATTTCAGGTTATACAGAAACACCATGTGAGATTTTTTTTTGCGCCGAGAAACAAACTAAAAGCTTTAGCAAGTTCTATATGATTGCTTGTCATATCGCTTGTCAATGATATCATTACACGTCCAAAAGCAATATAAATGATGTTGTCGGATGTTCGTTTGATCGGAGCTAAGTGAACAATTCGTGTAAGATAAAACCTAGAAGAACGATCTAGATTAAAAACTAGGGCTCGCTTGTTTAAACAAAAACTTCGGCTTTCAGGCTACAAGCTGTTAAAAACACCTGTAACCGCCTTTTACAGGCCTTAGGCAAGGGCTTTTAGAGGAAAATTCTAACTAGAGATCACTTTTTATTATAAATATGAATTTAAAATAAGAGCTATTGGAAACGCACATTTGTTACCGAATGGCTCCAGTTACTGCGTATTTTGCAAATTTAAAATCTTTAAATGCAACTTGCTCACCGACGCATCTATCGCCTAACTTGCGGTTTCCAGCGTCATCTTCAAACAACATGTCAAAATTTAAAATTGCTATGTCAACATTACAGTTATTTTAACATTTCATTTGACGAGCTGACCGATCTTATGCACTAAGAACGCTAAGATTGCCAGCTTAGTTACTAAGTGTTCACTTTTTTTACAGGCTTTTAATGACGGTTTGTGATGAATCACCATTAATGCAAAAGTCGGAATTAAACACTGTCAAAAAACAATTGTCCTCCGTCGTGCAAAGCAAAAAGACTGTTTCAGCAAAATAAATTTGTTGGCGTGCCGCGCGGAACTCTGAGAGTGTGGGGCGCGAATCGTGGGTATCACTTCCAAAGTTCCGCGCGGCGACGTCAACGGTGGGATTTATCGCCTAAAAGCGGGTTGCAAATCTTCCCCATGCGCGAGATTTTCACATCTCAACCTCGTTCTTAGGTGTCTCTCGGTTGGTTACAAATAATGAGCAGATATGCCTAATCTTGTTTTCCCCTCAATGAAAATACTCTTGTGCATAAAGGAAATAATCTTAGGGTTGCTGGCAGGTAATCCTTTCCTAATGTGATTCACGATAGACATTTATCGTGTTTGCTTTTATAAATGTAAGCCACGGAGCAGACAGGCCTGCCATCTCGGTCTGAATATCTCAATAACGTTAAATGAAATGTTGATCGACGCATTTGTGGTATTTCAAACGACCCATGAAGGCGAAAAAAAATACTACAAATGCGTCTGCTCGAATAACATTTCATTTAACTTTATTGAGATATTCGGACCGAGATGTAATTTAGATATGCAATTTTCAAAGCTTTAATCGTAACCCTCATAAATTTGATCGTCTCATGTCAAAAATTATTGACAAGGCTGATTATTGACCACGGACACATAGTATGGTCTGCCTGTGGTGAGTCAACTTTGGTACTAGGAGGGAGGGAGCCCGGAGAAGAGATTTTACCGGGATGGAAGAAAGATGACTGTGCGGGAAAAGATTTCCGGGGTTTCTTTTAACTTCGCCTTTTGCTCGTTCCCTTTTTTTCATTGTTTCTCGATGAGCCAAAATGCTGGCGTAACTGGCACAATGTCTCAGGTGACAAACTAACAGTAGACTATGTGGGGAGGGGAAGGTGACAAAACACTCGCGATACTCACGGTTTGGTAAGCTTACAACATAATCCTGCTGGAAAAACTTGGTAAATTTATTAATCTCATCAAATCCGGCTGAGAACCCTGCAAAAATCCTCCCTACGCCTACGCACACCCTAAAACTGGCACGATAATCGAATCTTATTACTCATTTCTGCCAAAGGTCACGTTCGGAAAGCGTTTGAGTCATATCGCTACGTCAAACCCCGCTGTTAAAATGGGTGACCATCTGTCGTTCGTCAAAGACCATAGAAATCTCACTATATTTGATTAATGTCTGCTTCTCAGAAAGTTGTGAGGACATTGTGTGTAAAGCAAAATCTAATCTAGAGAACGCTGTCGTGGTTCAACCAAAGGGATTTAGAGATTCCGCCGACACACCCCTGTCCACACACGCACACCTGTGGGCACTTCCCCCTGCGGGAAACTCGATTCCCTTGCGGTTTTCCATCAACGATCATTGTGTTTTCGGCGTCATCGTTAAAGCCTACTTTGTGTCTTTATCCCGTGTATAGCTGCCATGAATTTAAGCTATCTTCTTTTCATCTTTATTTACTCGTTTTCTGCGGACAATCCAGCCGAAGCGCAAAGAATTCAAGTGAATCGACTTTCAAGCGGTGTGGACGAATTTGAAGTCTTGAACGATGATGGGAAAGGTCTCTGTACGGAGTCAAAGACAGTAGAGGAATTTTGCGTCGAACGTGGTGCGATCAGCGTTCAGAATACTATATCATGTTTGGATTTTAAAGAGAAAGTTCATTGCCGTTGTATTTCTTCAAAACCAACATTTCTACGGCAGAAGGGAAAATGCGTGAACAACAGGAATGTCACGCGGCATTTTCACAGATGGTCGAACTCAGGTAGGCAGTATTACGAACCTCTGCTGTAAGAATTTTCCATTACTTGGCCAATGCAGTCTTAATTAAGTTTTAATTTAGTAGCATTACATCTTTTCTCTACGATTCTAGAGGATTCTTCGCCATACCTCCCTACATGAATACAATATAGACGCAGCGAAACCACAAATCTATCTCTTATTCGATGACGCCATTTCCGGCCAATGTGTAACAATGTCACGACTATATTTACCTGCTTAAAGCGAGTTTACCTTATCACAGAATAGGACATAGTTTATATCCTGCCTTAAAAAATATAATTTTAATGTTATCCACGAAATTTTAAACCACATGTATCTAAAACAACAACCGAAAAAGAAGGTTAAATCTCGGTGGTTTCGAAGCTTACAGGAATGAAAGGAAAACAGTGAACGACCTTAAAGTTCAGATCCTTGATGTCGCGTTAATCGGCGGCCTTCTTTCATCGTCCCCTCTGCCTGAGGAATTTCCGAAATGAGTTACCATTATCATTATTATTTATTTATTTATTTTGCGCATCTTGCTGCTGGCTGGATGAAAAGCAATGAAACATAGTTTTCTAATCAATATTTTATCTTCATGTTTATTTATTTCATCATCAACGAAAGACATGTTGTGTTTCAATACAACGTTGGTCAAGTCCCATTATAATAGGATTCTTTTGTCGGTGATTCGTTCTTCTCTGCAAACAACTTTAAGACGAAAGCGGAAGTCCTCCAAACCCTGTGTGGTGTCCATAAATTGCTTTGTTTAGTCTGGGGTTTGAACGAGAGGTCTGGGTCGGGTTACTCGACCCAGATCTCTCTCGTCTTTTTCACCTCTCCACAAATATCGCGCTTCGTATTACTGAATGAAGGCCTGGAACACGGGCTATTCAGGGGGAGATGAGATGACACATGTTTCATTTCCCTTTGTAGTTTGCAAGTTTCATCTGGGCGTTGAAAATGGTCATCATCCTCCCAGCTGCCACGAGTCGTTCATCTCAACGTTATCAACCAACATCTCTAACGCCGGAAGCTATTCATTATGTACAAAGGAACCCACTCAAGAGCTCTCCAGTTGTAAAGTTAACCCCAGGATCTTGTCGTACAGTAAGGCCGGACGATGGAGGGAACTGTGGAGATTGAATCCAAGAGGAGATTTAGCAAGTATTGAGGACAATGCGTTATCTTTGGAAAACATTTTTGATATGGTAAATAATTAATTTAGAACCCAGACATCGTTGAGATCAGAACGGGTAACATTGGCATTGAGTGTGCTATCCCTGTTGCCTACAAAAGGTCACATACTTGCAGCAGTTATTTTCAAGTAGGTTAAAAACGAACAATTTAAGGTGCTCTGTCGGACAGAAAAAAAACCCTTCCTATCACAAGTACTCCCCCAACGATTGATACAGTAAAACCAAGATGAGGAAGAAGGCTTGCCTAAATTTCCACGTGCTCATGATTTCGCCGAGACTTAAAAACTTGTGGTTAACGATAAACCCACTCGAAGTATTCATGCACCAACTCGAACCATCGTGAGTAGGTACATAAGTTAACATCGACTTGTCTGCAGTACAATTGATGAGTCAATAACGATACGATTGATATCGCTAAATTTGGTTGAAGACCAAAAAAGAATACCAATGTCTCTTTTTACTAATTTAGCGAAAATTAATGTAACCCACATTGCATCTTATTATTGATTTGGTTCCTTTTCATTTATTTTCACAGCTGATCTCTAATGTCTCAAGATACAGCGGGCTCATTCTGTCATTTCAAGCCACTTGCCTCGCCACGTCGAGCCTGGATGTTAGATTGAGAGGGTTTCCTCCTCCTGAACAAGTCAGCTCCTGCGTACTCTTCAAAGTTGGCGGTTCGCGCATATGTAAGTACAGATTTAATGACAGAGCGATGTAAATAATGAAGTGCTGTGTGTGTAATTGTTTACTCACATTCTTCATTGAGAACAACACCCTTCATGGCTGAACCAACGATAGCTTTGTTAACTATCAAACTGAAACATTCAAATTTTCTGTCGGGGCTTTCCCTCAGGAAAACGCAAAAAGTTCTGAGTTGAGTGCTCTAAATGCTTTATCTTTTTTTCCCTATAGGGTCGCTGCAACCACATCAAACAAACTTAACTCCGTCGAAAGAAATCACGAGAAACTTAACTATTACGATAATCCAATTAGCAACAACACAGCAAAGTCATATAAGTCAGTCGTCAGTTACAGACCTCGTCACGGCGGAAGCTGAGCTGAACTCGGTCAATGATTCACCGAATCTGCGGTATATGATCTTGTTATGCGCTGGGGTCACCAGCCTTCTCGTAGTTCTTCTGTGTCTGACTGGATTTGTACTCTACGGCAGATCGAATCACCGGTAAGTTAACTCACTCCTAAATGCTATTAGTGCATTTCTGTTAGAACGTCATTTATAATCCAATGATCTCCGCTAGCTTCGAGGCTATCACGCAATTAGGTCGCTTGCTCCATTGGGAACAAAGCCCCCTCCCCTCCCCCATAGTTGAACTTGTGAAAGCTTCGTTGATTATCAAAATAGAAAATAAATTTGATATCGACTTTCAGATTTAGCGAGGACAATTTTTAGAGCAACTGCGTTGTTGTTGGTGGGTTTACTGCAGAAATTAAATTTATTTAAATTTTTGTTTTGACTGTTAAACACGAGCGTTAGTTGTTATAGGTATCTGTTCAGTTTTCCTCAGGGTCTCCTCCCTCATTTTTGTTCCATTTTTATTTCGGTTTCAGAAGGAAATGGCATAGATCAAGAAAAAGCGTAGGTATGTATAAAACGTATTTTGAATTTTAAGTTCTTAACATTGTTACTCATTAGACAATTTAAAGTGGACCTAAAAGATAATTATTCGTATGAGTAATTTTAAGGCAAAAAAATGAAGAGCTTTGCGTTACAACCGGTTGGGAAAAAATTGTTCACGATGCGATCCAACATAAGTATTAAGACTTTTATTTTGTCTTTTGATGATCACATAATTGTTACCTTGCCACAATCAAAACAAATCAAAGATAAAGTGAATCAGTATATTGTTTAAAGTAAAATCACTCACTGATTTCAAAATGTGTTTTAAGGCTCTGAAGTCTCTCACGTCAACGCTGTCTATAGCCAAGTCATTGTAATCTATCTTTATGTCCTTTGCAGCAAATCCCACGTATGAACGGGGTCACGATAGGGGCCTCGTTTTGGTGCAAGTGTCAACCCTTAGCCCCTCAAGACCCCCCTCAGTCACTGTTGTGTCTCCTTATGCAACTGTCTATCAACCTGGCTACAACTTATACGAAAGCTTGCGTAGCGTCAAGAATAATCCAGGGCCAAGACGGTATTCCTACTCCATATACCAGAATTTAGTCAGTGCTCGAAATGCAACTTCGCATCAAGAAGACTTTATGACGACAAGAAGAATATCATTCCCGTCATCAAATGACAGTAAGTCTTCTGCAGCGCCTTCAAATGCGCCATGTGATTATGCAACCGTGCGGGAAAAGATGCAGAAAGAGCCTGAGGAGAAATGTTCTCGCGACGAGACAAAAACAGCGGATTTGACAGTTACGTGTCCGTCACTTCCGTCTCCGTCGCTACAAAGGAAAGAAATGGCCAATGCGACCGAGATAACTGCATGTTCTTCATCAATGTTGTCGTTATCGTCGTTACAATTTTATGACGGGGAGGACCAAAAAGTTCACGGTACAGATTCACTTCATAAAGGTGACTCTTATGTTGAAGATCAAGGAGGTGAACTCGATATCATTGAAAAAAATGAAAACATGCTCCTCGAGTCTGATACTCCTCATGAAGACATACATGACGACTCGTCTGAAGGCAGACTCAGCGGTTTAGAGTTTGTCGTGGATTCTGACTGTGGCGACAGCGACAGCGCATTCGGAGAAGCCATCGATGAAACAGAGAATCAATCACCTTTTTACTACGTGCTGGAAGAATCCGAAAAGACGCAGGAGAAAAAACTATATCCATCTGTTTCTCTCGTTTAAAGATGGCTTCTTGACGATTATTTGACTTTAAAAACAATGGTGTTTTTCTGGTAATGCGAAACACTTTAGAGCTTTGCTGGTCAGCATTTTTTTCGCGGTATATTTTAATTTATTTCTTTAGATATGTCAGGCTTTTTAGGAGAATACAGTCAATTTGTGCTTTGTATAGTATCTCGCTCTAACAATTTTCGAATATTCATTGGTTTCAGTTGATACAAGAAACTGGTTAATTGAGTACAGTGAGGTACCAACCAAACGTGTCTTGTAACTAGTCACCACCTTGGGGTGGAGAGGGAGAAGCTTTAGGTATTCATACCCTCCTTACCACTACCCCCACATAGACGGTTTCACAAATTGAAAAAGACCTATGAGAACGCTTGTTGATCGAATGTAGCCGAGAAAAAACTGGTGCCGTGTTGTATATTATTTTTAGGAGTCATGTGTAACGATCATTCTGACAATAGAAAGTTCTACAAATAAATCTTCAGCAAAATGCAGTTTCATGCTATTTTCGGTGAGTGTAGCATTTTCCTGACGCAAATCTTGGGCTACAAGGAAACAAAACGTTTCAATTGTAAACGAGCTGGGTAGCCACGCCGTAGCTCCTTTTTTCGAGCTTTGTGTCTGCTTTCTCTGATGGTTAATCTTTACATGTTTATACTCTTGGGTGAAGACAGGCATTGTAAGAGTTACGCGTCTCGCCAAAGAACACATTTCGAACAACAGTCGCGTAAAGTTAACATCGACCAAAAGAAGGTCACGCGCATTGGTGTTGCGTTACGAAAGTTCGTAACGATAGGAACGTTCCGGAAGTTGTAATGCTAAATATTGAGTTTCTTTCATGTCTCGATACGATGACCTCCGTCGTAACTAACTCGCCGTTAAAAAAAAAAGGTGGTGACTTTCGATTTTATCTTCTCCAAAAATTACAGATATATCTATGATTTTGAAAATGTCAAGAGAATTATTCGAATTAAAATCGTCAACAAAGTTTTACTTGATCAAAGGTCCAGAGGATTTGGCGCGAAGAGGTGAGATAGTCATAATATTATATGGATCAAATAAACCGGATCCGACTCGGAGGGCAGAGAGTGACACAAGTTCATTGGAAGCCCTTTTCATTGAGCAATAAAACAAAGAAGGTAAAGGATTATTCTCGCAATAAGGAAGGGTACGTAACGATCTACAAAAAAACTTTCTACTGGGGGAGGTCACTGTGAAGGCAAATGGGTGGAAGAGTCCAAGTGTTCGCCCACTGAGCCGTGGAACAGCTGTAACGTTATCATATTGTCACGCGCCTAATTGCGGCTGACTTCATATTATTGGTTGTCATGATTGGCGATGTGAACAAAAGAACAATAGAAACAAGGACTCAAAGCAATGCCTACAGTGTTCAAAGCAATTGTCAAAACCATCTGAAATTAGAGGTTCACACGTGGTACCGATACATTTTGCTTTGACGAAGAGAGAGAGAGAGAGAACACCCTTAATCATGGCTGCCGTTGAAAGCTCTAACAGTTACACCTGGTTGGCGGTAATCTTAAGCGTTCTGACGTTCATCTACTGGCAAGGTCTCAGTCGTTATAATTCGATTCTTGGTGGCTCTCCTTTGCGGGGCCCAAAAGTATGGCCATGGATAGGCAACCTCCTCGATATCTTTAAATATGGAGGTATACATAAGATGTTCTTAAACTATTTCCGCAAGTACGGACGAGTACATACGATGTGTTTTGGTCGCACACCAGTTATTGTTGTAAGCGATCCTGAAATTGTCAAGCAAATTTTGGTCAAGGACTTTTATAAGTTCCCAAATCGACCTACCTTCATTAAACCGAATCCTCCACTGGATTCAGGACTGTTTCAAGCGGAGAACGGCAAATGGAAGCGCATTCGCACTACAGTGGCTCCAACGTTTACAGCGAGCAAACTGAAAGAGATTGTGCCGATTATAGACGATGCCTCGCAAAAGCTTATGGCCAAAATGGAAAAGTTTGCCGAAACCGGTAAGTCTGACATTTTGGGTGTATTCATAGAGTTACGTAATAACGGTAATGCCGCCAAGCCTTAAATGAAACTAGTATCCAACTGTCGAAGATCAACTTTCCTTCATGAAGATTTTTTAAGTTAGCAATTTTGTTTTCTCGATCAGAAATTTTCTTGAGAGCGAATGCTTGAGACGCTGAGAAAATTTATTTCTTTGATACAATCTTTCAGCCTGTTTGATCACGACGTCTGTAGGTCAGGTTGCTTTCAATGGCCTCTTTTGTTTGGATGGATCGAAATAGAATTTGCCCTGACGAGGGGTTACCAACTCACACGAAAGGGACGGTTTATTGTTCTCGTTTTGCTCACACCATTATTTTGCTTTCGAAATAAGAGTTTCTTCTCGGCTTCGGAATCTTGGTACTTATTTTTGTGTGGGCAGTTGATTTGTTTATTCACGGTAAGGACAGGCCTGAACTTGTAGGAAATGCAATGATATACTCATGTCAGCCTCATTTGAATAACACGTCCAAACCTGTATAACCAATGATGCGTTCAGCTTCATTATCATTACACGTCTGAACCTGCCCGAAGTTATAAGTGTCTTTTAAAAGCGAGGTCACGCAACTTTTAGGCTGACTCAAGTCGGTACTTAACGATGAGCCGATTTCAACGCAACATCTCTGCGTTAAAAATGCACTGTCTGATTTTTTTCGAAATTCGACATTCCTTTCCGGCAACAAGTTGCAAGGTTGTGAAAGCCGTTCGAAAACCAGTTACATTGTTTCCAGAATTTTTCTATTGCGCTAAGAATTGACCGGCGTAATTAACTCAACAAAGGTGCCTTAATGCTGTTCCGTGTAACGTGTTAAAAATTTGCGTTTGAGATCAGCCGGTGAGTGAGTGATATTTCAGTGAGCGGGGCTCGGGAAGGGTGCGGACCGCCTTATTTGCAGGTTACAGCTTCCTCTTCAGCTTTAATTAATGTTGCACTGATCGTTAATTTCATTGTCCTTTACAAATCTTCCATAGGTGAATCAGTGGATGTCAACCGTCTGTTTAGTCTCTTTGCCTTAGAGGTGATCATGAAAGCAGCCTTTGGATTTGACAGCGACGTTCAAATGAATCCAGATCCAGAATTTGTCGAAAAAGCCAACAACGTCTTTAAAACACCATTGGTTATAAGAGTGTTCTCTTTGTTTCCCTTCTGGACCTACTTCAGCCGTTACTTCAGCATCCTCCAAAATGTTGAATATTTTATTTCCATAGCAAAAGAAATGCTTCAAAAGAGGGCCAAGAAAGGTCCTACTGCAAAGAAAGACTTAGTGGAGCTTATGATGGAAGCACAGGAGAACATCGTCGATGGAGTCAGCAAGTTGAACGACGATGAAATCATGGCCCAGTCTATCACTTTCTTGGTGGCCGGCTTCGAGACAACCGGTAGCACTTTAACAAGCACAGCTTACCTCCTTGCTACCAATCCAGCGGTTCAGGATAAGCTCATTGAGGAGATCGACAAAGCAGAAGTAGAGATGGCCCGTAACAACTCTTCTCTTTATGACCATGTCCAAAAACTCGGGTACCTGGATCAAGTCATCTCCGAGGTCCTACGCCTCTGTTCTCCAGCCTTTAATCTTGTTCGTGGCTGTGAAGAAGAAGTGGTCTACAAAGGCATCCGGTTTCCAAAGGGAGTTGAAGTCAACATCCCGTCATACGTGCTGCACCGGGACCCAGAGGTGTGGAAGAATCCACTGCAGTTTAACCCTGAGAATTTCTCCCCTGAAGCAAAAGAAAAACGGAACCCGTATTCCTTCATTCCATTCGGAACTGGCCCGCGTCATTGCCTCGGGATGCGTTTTGCCCTATTGGAGATTAAAGTCGCCCTGTTGAAGATCTTGCAACGATTCAAATTTGAGTGCGCTCCAGAAACCGTGGCTACGCTGGAGCACCGGGCGGTAATTCTAATGGCGCCAAAAGATATGATATACCTTAAGATAAAAGCACGTTAGAACAGCCACGAAGCTTCTTATTTGGTAGTATTGCATGTTAAAGTTGTCAACATCATCTTTATGTGTAACCTCTTCTTATATTATGTTTCGTACTTATCTGACTGTATGAATTTAGGCACGTAACAAATAATTGCGAGGTCCAATACACTAGTTCAGTATCCTCCGCTCAGTACATTTTATGGTAAACGCAATCAGTTAACGAAGATCAGAAATCTATCCTGTTATGTACGTAGATTTTTTGATCAGTAGCTTCAGTTATAGCCAAGCTCACGCGGCGTATCGAGAAATATTTTATTGTGATTAATTAAGATTTAAGTTGTCTGAAACAAATATCTCTTAACCCGTGTTTTTTTTTTTTAAATAGATAACAAATCTGTAGAAGCATTTTGTAAGTTTCAGCACTGGCTAGATTTGCTTCTTTTATTTTCGTTCATTGTAAAAATTCATCACAGCATGATTCTATTCCGCCCCCAAATTTCGGCGCTAGTTTGATTTAAGTTATTCAAAAAACACACTTCCCATTTTATTTTATTGTTTTGCTTCGCTTACAGATGAAATTTCTGAAGTTTTTTCTCGGTTAAATAATTTGCTCTGATGATATTGTATTCTTCGGACGGTTTAGCATTTTTATATTTATTTCGTTGCACCATTGTTTAGTTGAAAATAGAAACGGTTTTTTGTACCTATCAGTTCGAGCACGAGGTAAGGAGAAGTTGTTAGAAGGACCAAGAATATAACAAGACCTTTTGGAGACGAAATCAGGACAAAGGTCGCTACAATAAGGCGGATATCGGCGAGGACCGGCAAGAATCGGCGGGAATAGGTTAACAACTGACATACGCGTGTGCTCTTCGGTAATCAGCAATGTTGAAACCAATTTATAATTAATACTACCGAAAGGAATAAACTCTCTTTTTTTTCTCTATTATTTCTAACAGTATTCTTTATTGACGGATGAAAGTTGTCTGCGACAACAACCGTTCCAGGGTCTTCCGATCCCCCTTAAATACTTTGAGTCAGAATCGCAAAGGTTCTCCCACACTTCTGTAATCTGGAAAACGGGAGAATACTTCGAGGAACTTTTCTGATGGAGTGTGCAGCCCACTTCCTGCAATTTTCCTTAGTTCCCGATTTCAGCTCAAACCTGATCCGAATATTAACATTTCGCGCCTCTCAAGTTAACATTAATATTTTCCATACTGTCCTAAATTAGATTTAGATTTCTTTAGACAAAGGAAATAAATTATGTTTCAGTTGGAATTTTAGTTTCTAACGGTAATCGAAAGTTATAGCCATGATACCAGCATTAGCAGGAACTTATTAAAATATTTCGGTTTCGTCTTCGTTGAGCAAACTTCGGGTCGGTGGAAGGGGGCATTTCACAGCACCTTCCGGTTCTCAAACGTACAAAACATTATGTTTGTACAACTTAAAGCCCTAATCATTATAGTTTTAAGTTCCATGGCTACAATGTTAGTTTGCGATGTGAGTGCAGTTGGAACTAATACGGAGAGAAGATGTAAGAAGCTTTTATGTCCTGCTGCAGAGGATACCAGTTGTGGCAACATCCACTGTTTCATAAATGATTCTACAGTCACGTTTGAGGTTCATAATTTCAAACTGGGAAAAAGTAAGTTCTAGATTTTAAACTTTGTAATTGATTTCTCGATTCCATCTGATGAGCAATGTGCCCTTGCGGAGCAGAAAGAATTTGCCCTTGCGGAGCAGAAAGAATTTGCCCTTGCGGAGCAGAAAGAATTTGCCCTTGCGGAGCAGAAAGAATTTGCCCTTGCGGAGCAAAAAGAATCCGTAATTAAAGATTAGCAGCCTATAACGGAAATGTTTAATTAGAATTTGTGAGGTACATTCAATCATCTCATTATACTTACCATTATATAGCGCGTTGACGAGATGCGTCACGTTCAGTGTATCTTGAATAACTTAGCACAAAAAATCTCATTGACTTCAGGTTTAGCAGTCCGTGACAATCGATCCCAGCCTTGTTTATATTCGTTTCATTGTTGACACAAAACGAAGCCAAATTTTAGTAATCTGTTCATTTGCTTTATCGGTGGCTTACAGAAATGAGTGTTCGAAATTGAAACCTCGAGCTCTTTACCTCTTCAGACGATGCAAATTTCTTCGTGTTTGGTGTATTTTATTACTACATCTCAAAAACGAAATTTATCTGATCTAGCTTTTTTTCTGTTTTAATCTTCAGGTTATGTAGGATTCTTAATAATATACAATCAAACACTGTGCAAAGTTTCCACTCTGCAAAAAATTGAAAATACCGCGAAACTGATCAACGACACTGTCCCGAAGTACTGTAACAAGACTCTGTGGCAAAAGATTAACTTAACATATGGAAACTCGAGTAGATTTGGAGTCCAACTTAAGGTAAAAAAACTTACAGAATACTGATACAAAGTTCCCTTAGGAAAATTCCTTACTCATTTGATATACGTGGTGTTCAAATCGAGATTGTGGTGACGCGATCTGTACATTAGACAGAAAGATTGCACAAAAGACAAAATTTTCCGTTGGAAGGCGATATCGCGATGTAATAGCAAATTCTTCTGCTGGCTGATTTACAAGGAATTGTATGGCAGCTAGATCCTTTACCCTCTAAGAGCGACCAGTATCTAATATCTCCTCACAATTTTAACCCCAAATCACACATTTAGGAAAGGAGAATAAGGGAGATGATCACCAACTAAAGATGCTCTTGATTGTTAAACAAATTCTCCTTGTCAACACCTTAGGAAATGTATAGAGAACAGTATGGAGAATATGCATACTGATGTTAGGGTGGATCTTAAAAGTTTATCTTGCATGTCGATGTCGATGCGACCTAGTTGTGTACGAGAGAAATTGTTAGAAAATCATGGAGCAATTTACGAGTTAAGTCAACTTTTTGCTTTCGAGCTAAGATGAATTTTCTCTCCTTTCTTCATTTGTACACAGGATGGGACTGATGGCATCTTCGTGTTTAGCATAAGGAAAGTTTCGTTGATAGCCTTCGTGTGCTTGGGATGGGAAGACTACAGGCAACGCTACGGTAAAAGTTGATTCATTCATTTTTATAACATAGCTAGTAAATTTGTCTAATCAAATTCAATTGCTTGAGCGTGCTTCATATTCCTATTGTGCACACTCATGACATCAGCAAACAAATCCCTCGAGAAAAAAATTTCCATCGGGTTGAAAACGTTATAAAACAATTGGCTCATACGTTAGCTGTGCGTTCATCGAGATATGAAGCACGCGGGAAGTTTGGAGAGCACGAAAGATGCGTAAGAGCTGCTCGAGGCGTAGCCGAGAGCAACTCTAGCTTCTTGTTAATTATCTTCAGTTTTCTTGCACTCTAATGAAGCTTAAAAATTCAATCGTCTCAACAATCATGTTGTTACTTCCTTTTCAGATATTCGCGCATGCTACGAAAACGAAAACTTCCCGAGCATCTCACCAACAAATCCTGAAAACCGAAAAACAGCAGAAACATATCGCCCTCTGACATATTGTGTGGTAGTGACATTTTTGCTGCTGGAAGTCTTGGTGTGTGCGGTAATATATCTTTGTCTGAAGAGAAAACGCGGGTAAGATCTGATGAGGATGTCTCTCTTTTTGCTTCTGATTACCCGTTTAGTGTCGCGTTAGTACATCTCTTTAGATATAAATATTAACTTGTTGACAGTAGTTGGTTATGGTCAGGGTTAACGTTCCCAATTTGCTTAGCGGTTTTGCATAAAACAATGGTTACCCGTTAAAGGCGCGAGATACTCGACGAGTCAGTTAGTTAACGTTCGCTAGATTTCACGCGGGATCTCGCATTTAAGACATCGTGAAGTGTGATTCTTCCCTCCCTTTTGGCATTCGCAAGTGTGCGATCTCTGATCATGACTGATCGGAAATTATTAAACAGTATGAAATCGGACAAATCTAAGACAATATGTCGAACATATTCAGTTGTTTTACAGCCTCTCGTCTAATAGGCTGCCAAAAAAAGCTGTTCAAATAAGGAGCGATGTTGTTTCATGTGTACAAATAAAATACAAACTAGGATGAAATTAAATTAGTTATATGTGCGACTTTGTCATTTAAAATCTGTATGTAATGTATTCTCTATAGGCGCACGAAAGAAGAAGAAGAAAACACCGCGGGTAGGTATTGGTTCAGAGGTATTTGTTGTTGTAATTATTTTTTATGTCGCTGACGGTGGGTAATTTTGAAATATTTTTGATTAAATGTCGAAAATGGTCCAGAGCTGTTTTAGGTTTATTTTGACTGCACTTTAATTCTGATCGCCTCTAAGAACTCGCGCAAACTGTTCAACCGATCAGAAAAAATTGCTGCTAAATTAGTATGACTAAGCGCGACTTAATCACGAGAACTATCCAGGGTTTAGGTTTGGCGAGACGGTGACGCGAAGGGATCACAATGCCCATACACTTTATGTCATCAGCCGGATATTTGCATTTGTGCGGATTGGCTGTGATGATTGCTTTGGTTTTGCTTTTCTAAAGATATTCGATGGAAAATTGCACCAATCGCAACCATATCTATCTCTGTAGGTAATCCCATCTACCAGCGAGGTGTGCAGGTTTTGGACCTTGAGCCAAGTGACGCATTAAACGCAACTCAAGACTCGTACCAGCCTCTTGTCGAAAACACAAGGGAACCTGGAGCGAGTGAGGACTATCGAAGTCTTGAGAACGAAGAAGGATGTGATGAGAGGAATACCGTTTTTGTAGACCAAACAGGCTACGAAGGTCTTGCTCGGAGCCAGACACACAAATACCAAAGCTTAGCCAAGGTAGGAAAGAAAAAGGTACTCTGCTGCAGCAATCTTATCACGGCTTTTAGCAACATGTACGAGAAGATACCAGGGAACAATTAGTTACCGATAAACTACTCGGTATTTTAAAATTACTCACCGAGAATCTTATGGCATAAAATTCTCGGTGATACCAAGGACTTTTCATGCTATCTAGTTATTGACAAGTGTCATCGCTTCTTAAAACTTGATTCCTGAGTGTTTTTCCATCTTCTTTTTTTTCTTTTCCACAGGACAAGGTATGCAAAACGGATCAAAGAAAATCCGATGACATCGACCCCAAAAACTCGAGAAAGTCTAACACAAGTCGTTCAGAAACTGATCAACGTTTTCCAGTTACTTTCCAGTCCAAAAGAGACCCTCTCGATTCGCTGCGAAATGTGATCAAATCAGCAATTCCACTTCGACCTCACACATCCCCCTTCTCCCCTAATAACCACCAAGAAGGCGATTCAACTCCTTTCGATCAGTCTACAAATGCGCCATTGTACTATCTCTTAGAGAGCCCAGGGAACACCGCTGGAAAGGGACCTGCCTGCACCGACACGTACCCAAAAGAATCCAACTTGGTTCCTCTGCAAATGCGAGGCGTTATCGAAGAACTTAAGGCTGGTACTACCTGCAGGAGTGTCGAGTTTGACAGCACGAAAGAGGAGCCAATGTATCACGTCCTCGAGGGGCCAAATCCTACACCAGACCGCATGCGTAATGTCATTGGGGAGCTAAAAAGTCTCAACAAAGCTGGCCAAAGAAGAGAATCGTCAAATGAATGTAACACAGCTCGTCCAGATGATGTCTTTGTAGACCCAAGAGACTCAGAAGATGAAAATGAAGGGTACAAAGATCCGTAGCGAGCTTTTCTACAGAACGTAAGAGCAAATGAAAGGCCAACGCTCAAAACGACGGCCAATTTACATCACCAACTCAGTTAATAAAACCAAATCATCATGTTATACTCCAGAGCTACTCAGCAATACAGTTTCTCCAGAAACTAACCCCGTTTTCTGGAGTTCAAGTGGAGATTTTCCATCACAACACCTCTCGAAAGCAAGAGCTA